CAATTCAACATTAATTGATCAATAGCAGAGTCCGACAAGGTTCCTGCTGAACTACTAACTGATGTGTGTACTCCAACTCTTCTAACAGTTGTGAAATACACTACACAGTGTGTGGTCTCTACAATATAATGGATTATACCCTCCATTTCTATTCACAGAAACAGGTATCCACAGAGAAGGCTGTGGTCATCACACCACACTGTACTGACTGATGTCCCTTGTGTGTTTGTTTTGATCAGAAACCTGAAAGGCTAATGCACATGTTGATATTTGGCAGGGTGATCCATTTTGCCTACAAATGGGACAACTGCTAAAATACTACAGTATTCAGTAGACCAGTCTGCTTACCTCTCATCTTTAAAAAAAAGGAACGATATAGTTCCTGTGAAATAAATGATAACTCATTGTTAATAAACTAGGAAATAAAGATGATCGGGAACAGTATTATAAAGTGAAACACATGGTAATTCATTACTGATAAACTAGGAGATAATTATGATCTGGAACAGTATTATAAAGTGAAACATGGTAACTCATCATTAATGAACTAGGAGTTAATGATGATCTGGAACAGTATTATAAAGTGAAACACATGGTAACTCATTATTAATAAACTAGGAGTTAATGATAATCTAGAACAGAATTATAAAGTGAAACATGTTAACTCATCATTAATGAACTAGGAGTTAATGATGATCTGGAACAGTGTTATAAAGTGAAACAAATGATAACTCATCATTAATGTACTAGGAATTAAATATGATCTGGTACAATATAAAATGAAGTAGATAGTATCTCATTACTAGTGAACTAGGAGTTAATGATGATCTGGAACAGTATTATGAAGTGAAACACATGGTAATTCATTACTGATAAACTAGGAGTTAATTATGATCTGGAACAGTATTATAAAGTGAAAAATGGGAACTCATCATTAATCAACTAGGAGTTAATGATGATCTGGAACAGTATTATTATAAAGTGAAACACATGGTAACTCATTACTAATAAACTAGGAGTTAATGATAATCTAGATCAGTATTATGAAGTGAAACATGGTAACTCATCTTTAATGAACTAGGAGTTGATGATCTGGAACAGAATTATAAAGTGAAACATGTTAACTCATCATTAATGAACTAGGAGTTAATGATGATCTGGAACAGTGTTATAAAGTGAAACAAATGATAACTCATCATTAATGTACTAGGAATTAAATATGATCTGGTACAATATAAAATGAAAAAGATAGTATCTCATTACTAGTGAACTAGGAGTTAATGATGATCTGGAACAGTATTATAAAGTGAAATACATGGTAACTCATTACTAATAAACTAGGAGTTAATGATAATCTAGAACAGTATTATGAAGTGAAATATGGTAACTCATCATTAATGAACTAGGAGTTGATGATCTGGAATAGTATTATAAAGTGAAACATGGTAACTCATCATTAAAATAATCAAATCCCTAAATTAATGATGTACTGTGCTACAAAAAATGTTAATAAAGGAAATTTGAAAAAGAGTAAATAAGTTGTTTATTGAGTACTTTTTTATTTGTGAATAGTCTAAATGTGAAAACAATACTGAGTTAGCTGACTATATTATTAAATAAATACAGATATGAAACAGGAAGATGTGCATAAAAAGCGAGAGCCTTCATACACTTACACACAGCAGCTCGGTCTCTGAGGGTGTGTTCAGATGTTGTTTGTTTGTATGTGTCAGTCTATAGTTGGTACATTCCCCATTATTCAATATTCTAAAACAGCTCCAGATCAGCTCTACCTTGATTAATATGCACATAAATCACTGACAGCGGGCAAGCCTCTATATTATGAGGAGTAAGTGCTACTTTCACTTCTCCACACCCAGTTGACCGCTGGGATAGGCTTTAGCAGATGATGATGAGTGAACTGAGTGGCTGAACTGATATCTGCAGCATTTTCCTGAAGGTATTTGAATCAGGCATTTACTCTGGATTTCCACACCATCAGATTGATCTGATCAGGTTGTTGCTCCATTAAACTCTACAGTTTAACTGCTAAAAATCTAACTTTTGATAACCTTAAGCTGACAGATTTTAAGTGAAATGTGATCAGAAAGTGAAGTCTCAAAAGTAGCAGTTAGTTTAATATTCACATGTCTGGTTTCTTTCTTCAGTAGTTTTCAAATGATAGATGCAAAATATTAATATGTGTAAATGATATTAATTTGTAACTAAGACATTTAGCTCCCATTTACTTTTTGTATGAAATTAATGATTTTCTAAACTCTTAGAACAGGTTAATTTCTATGAATGTCTGAAACCACTAAGAGTGGATTTCAATCAGACATTTCTCAGACGCTAAGCTAGCACTCTGCAATGTTAGATCTTTTGTATCTTCCAATGGCATTGATTTTTTTGTTTCTAGACTTTGCTCAAAACTTCTAAGAACTGGCATCTAAATGACCCATGTCCTCTGAATTATTTACACTCAAGTCTCAGAGAACATCACAACGGGGATCTTTTAATTTTGTTCAGCATGTGGTCGGCCTGACTTATAGTCAGAATCACGTCTTGATCACTGTAATGCCTTAATTACATGTCTTAGTCAAGGAGCTATGGCTCGGCTGCAACTTGTGCAAAATTCGGCAACTCAGGTACTTACATATTACACCCATATTGGCATCTCTGCATTGGCTGCCTGTAACTTGTGGGTACTTTTCAAAATATTAGTTTTAACACATCAGGCGGTGCATGGTGATGGGCCGAAATATATCTCTGAGCTATTAGTGCCATATTCAAATGCTAGGACTCTGAGGTTCTCTAGTCAAGGCTTTGATTAGTCCCAGGACAAAGTGAACATGGAAGGGATTCTGTGCTTTTTCAGTATCTGCTCCTACACTCTGGAATACTCTGTGCTTAGACAGTAGATGTTTAAAAAAGGCTTAAGACACATCTGTTAGCCTGAGCCTTTGAGGTTGGAGCTGATGTTCTCTGTCATTTGTTATTTGTTTCATATTATTATTTAATCATCTTTATCTTACTGTTGTGAAGTGCTTTGTAGCCTGATGTTTAAAAAGTGCATAAATAAATGTTTTTAATGTTTAGACTGATCTTTTGACTTTGGCATGTTAAACAACAGGATGTCATTAAATGAGGCAAATAAGGAAAAGTCCAAAGAGAGCAGTGGAGTTTTTAACTATATTGCATTTGATTCAATGTACTAGATCATTCTACACTGATCACTTCTTCCTTTGTGTGTTACTTTAAGAGCTTTTATTTTCAGTGTACAGATTATTAAAAATGCCCTTTTAAAACCACTCTTTTTTTCCTGGAGAGCAAAGCATGATTTCTGAACTTCAGGGTTTGAGTGTACATGTCTAACAAATTAGACTGTTATACACTATATACTGTGTAGTGTATATATACTGTCTTCCATACATTGCACCTCATATACTTGGCTTTTTCACTAAGTGTGAGATCGGTGATCATTTCTGTGAGGCACAATATGTAAGTCACCTATAATCCATTATCTATAATCTAGCATTCTGTTTCACAAAACAGTTTTTGTGTTTGGCATGTGTACAAGTTAAATTCTTGTTAAAAAAAAGAAAAAAGGGATTTTCTCACCGGTACTGTTGGTAAGCTGAACAGAAAATAAGAAGCAGGACTGAAAGAAGATCATTGACAATTCAGGATTGGTGCAAAAACATCAACCTTCAGTATTCAGATGACATGAAAGACATATCAGAAAATCTGGAAGATCTGACGGCCCTTATAAGGATAAGAATCATACTAAAACTTTGAATTTGATTCTGCATTCCAGAAACTGTTTGATTTCTCTGATTCAGAATGTGAATCGTAATTTAATTCTGATTCTGTGAGCCAGAAACTATTTCATCACACTGGCTCTCAATCTGATTTCAATTCTGTGTGTCAGAACCAGAATCAGAATTTGACTCTGGGCCAGATTCTTGTCCAAATGATGTCTGGAACACTATATTTAAATATAATTACTGCATTTCACTGAAATACTTCACTTGATATGACTGTAGCTCTGAATACTTACATTTTTGCACATTTTATTTCAAAAATTGGCCTGCGAGAAAGTTACCCTAACCTCAGCTCTTCACCCAATAAGAGGACAAACATATTTTTATACCAACTATTACTTTATTATTAAATTTATATATATATATATATATATATATATATATATATATATATATATATATATATATATATTATTTTTAAAGTATTTTAGTAGCAAATGTAGCATCATGTTATGAAACAGATTTTTAAAAATAATTTAAAAACCTTCTTTATTTATATATTGTTTTGTCTTTTTGTCTTTTCACCCACCACAAATACAGTAATTCAGCCCCACCATTATTATTATTATTGTTGTTGTTGTTGTTATTGTTATTGTTGTTATTATTATTATTATTATTATTATTATGATTATGAAATCACCATGTAGCACTCTTACAATACATGAAGCCACATGTTAAGGATTTTGATGTTATTTTTGATTCCAGCCACATATTTGACTAGCAGATCCACTCTATTGTCAAAAGTAGCTTTTATCAACTTTGTTCAAATTCAAAAATCAAACCAGTGCTTTCGTTTCAATATTAAAACTTAAGAGTGACTGTGTTCTGCACCTATGTTAATACTGATTTTGAATTTTATTTTATTTATTTAATTTTAGTACTGTAGTTGTAAACATTGTACCTTTGAAACTCTAACTTTACAGTTAGGAAGAAAAAAACTTTCTTAAATTGTAATGAAAGTCAACATAAGATTTTCTCCAAGTGGACCATGTCTCTTGGGCCATTCATCATAAAATTTTGCCGGCGATTTTGATTTGGCAGGAGGCTTGGTTGATGCCAAACTAGTCTGAAATACATCTATCTATAACCACCTCTGCTTTGTTGGTGTTGTGCACATAAACATAATGACATATTGGTGTTTAATGGTGTTTTTGTGCTTCATATTTTAATTAACAGACAGCTGTTCAACACTCACTGTTTCCCATGATTCCCTGCTGGTGGAGTATGGAGAACCTGTTGAACTCACCTGCTCCATACCATCCAAACCTTCATCACAGTACAAGCTGGGCTGGGAGTCTCAGATTAATCCTGTCCAAATAGAGAATGAGACCAGTGTGGTGTGGAGATCGCCTGGTCTGACAGAGTGGGAGGTGAACGGAAGAGAGTTGTTCTGTTTCCTGACAGTAAATGTAGCACCAAATCAAGACCAATGTAAAAAGAGGGTCCATCTGAGTCTTTACAGTGAGTACAGTTATCCCACCTGTTCAGTTTACTCAGTACTGCAGTGCTGAAATGCTAAAAGCTCCTTTTCCACTTTCCACTCACTGCCTTACACAGATATTACTGTGTTACTGAGCACTGGTGTATTTACACTCCAACCATGGAAGTGAGCAAAAAAAAAAATTAAATCTGTAGTGAGGCTGCCAAGTTATGCCTCACATGTGATCCCGGCGGCTAAGCCGTGTCACTGGGACAGGGACGAGAAGGCAGAGCAATGAGCTCTCTTTCCCTCTAGGTGCTCACACTGCCCTTAATGAGAGCCAGCTGATCTGGCACATCTGGCACCTTTAAAGGAGCGGAGAGGGTTGAGCAGCAGTTGTATTTTACAGTTTCACAGTAAATACTACAGTTTAAAGCATAATATTAAATGTTGACGCAGGACTAGTTTGGCTTGTTTAGCTTGTACATCCAGAATTAGAATCAGAATCAGAATCAAGCTTTATTGGCCAGGTATGTTTACACATACGAGGAATTTGGTCTTGGTTACAGGAGCTCACAGAGCACAGTATCAGACAGACATTTGCATGTAGTGAATAAAATAAAATAAAATAAAATAAATATAAAATAAAGTAAAATACAATAAAACATTCACTCCTACCATAACTCACTCATACACACACACACACACACAGTCATACCTGTTACCTTTACATTGTGCAAAGTATGGGTCTAAAGTTAAAGTGCTGAGTGCAGCAGCAGTTTAAGGGTGTATAGTGGCAAAGAAAGGGATCAGTGAGGTAACAGTCAGATAAGTGGGGTAATAAGGCATGTAAATGGGGTAACAGTCAGATAAGTGGGGTAATATGGCAGGTAAGTAAGATGCTAGAATAAACACTGGTCTGAGACGGTAGTTTCAGAAGATGGAGTGGAGTTGATACTATATACCAGTATTTATGAAGTGCAGTTTAGAAGCTGGGATATTTTAATGTGTAATAATTAACTGTTGAAGAGAGTGATGGCTTGTGGGAAGAAGCTCCTTTGTAGCCTGGATGTCCTGATCCTCATCTGGCTGAAGGATGGTGAGTGCTGGCAGGGTTGGAGGGCTCCTGAAGTCCACTGTGTCCATGGAGGTACAGTCGTTCCTGTACAGTGAGAAGAGCAATGGTGAGAGTACAAAACCCTGTGGAGTGCCCGTACTGATGATCTGGATGTTTGAGGTGAACTTTCCCAACCTCACCTGCTGCTCTCTGCCAGTGAGGAGGTTGGTGATCCACTGGCAGGTGGCAGTTGGCACGCTGAGTTGGAGCAGTTTGTTGTGTAGCTGTCCTGGGATGATCGTATTAAAGGCTGAGCCGAAGTCCAAGAACAGAATTCTTGCATACGTTCCTGGGTGATCAAGCTGTTGGAGAATAAGATGGAGTCCCATGTTCACTGCGTCGTCCACCGACCTGTTTGCTCAGTATGCAAACTGCAGGGGGTCTAGGAGAGGGTCTGTGATGTTCTTCAGATGGGAAAGCACCAGTCTCTCAAAGGATTTAATGACTACAGAGGTCAAAGCAATGGGTCTGTGGTCATTCAATCCTGTGATGGATGCTTTCTTGGGAACTGGTATAATCGTGGAGCATTTGAAGCAGGAAGGTACAACACACAGCTCCAGTAATTTATTAAAGAGCGCTGTAAAGACTGGCGCAAGCTGGTCGGCGCAGGCCCTCAGACAGGAGGGTGATGCACCATCTGGTCCTGGTGCTTTCCTCACTTTTTGTCTCCTGAAGAGTCAATGCAAGTCCTTCTCGCAGATCTTCAGGGAAGGTTGAATAGATGGCTGGATGGCAGGAGGGCGTGAATCTGTGCTGAATGGGTGTGAGGAGCTGGGCTTTTCAAACCTGCAGTAAAAGGTGTTAAGCTCATCAGCCAGCTGTCAATCACCCATTGTCTGGGGGGGTGTTCTTTTGTAGCTGGTGATGTTCTGCAGGCACCCTGGTTGCATTTAACCTTGTTTGTAAGATAATAAGTTATAACATCATCAGTTCAAACAGAAATGGCTTCTTACAGTGTGTCTGAGTTGAGTGATATGAATATTAAAGAACTTTATAGAGGACTTTTTATATACACTTCCTGTAGTGTATTACAGTCTGTCAGAGTGACTGTGTGGATCATATGAACATTATAGAGGCTTTTTAAATGAAACAGTGGAAGCCATATCGCCCCCTACACTTCCTGTAGTGTATTACAGTCTGTCAGACTGACTGTGTGGATCATATGAACATTATAGAACTTTTTAAATGAAACAGTAGAAGCCATATCGCCCCCTACACTTCCTGTAGTGTATTACAGTCTGTCAGAATGACTGTGTGGATCATATGAACATTATAGAGGCTTTTTAAATGAAACAGTAGAAGCCATATCACCCCCTACACTTCCTGTAGTGTATTACAGACTGTCAGAATGACTGTGTGGCTCATATGAACATTATAGAGCTTTTTAAATGAAACAGTAGGAGTCATATCGCCCCCTACACGTTTTGTTTGTATGTATTGTGTCTTTCTCTTCAGAGCGTCCAGACAGTATGAAGATCAGCTCTGAGTCCAGCGTGTGGTCAGAAGGTCACATGATGAAGCTGAAGTGTGAGATTAAGAATGTGGGCCCATTACAGAGCCTTACTGTACAGTGGACCAGAGTGGACCAGAACAAAAACAGAACAGTCACTGAAATATCATACGGAAGTTTCAGCTCTTCTGGAGAGGAGAGAAAGAGCGGGAATGTGACGGCCACACTGAATGTCTCAGCCAGTCGTGATGAAGATGGAGTCCAGTATCAGTGTGCAGCTCTACTGAAGCTGGAGCAGCTCCAACAACCACAAGTGGGAACATCAGAACCTCTGAACATCACAGTACACTGTGAGTTTATTACACCTGTGAACAGAACTGTGTACCAGTGCTGTAGTCCAGACACCTTCACAAATACAGAGTCACCTGCTGTCTTCATGGAAACATTCAAGGGATTTAGCTAGTTAGCTAACATCAACTAATATGTGTCATATCAGGATTTGTTAAATTATCTTCCTCCATCTATGTGGATGAAACCTAAATGTTTTGTTAAGTTGTCTGTGATCTGTTAACTGATGGGATCTCTTAGCATATAGTTACTGCCAAAGCCAGCTAATATTAGTTTGCCTAACCAGCTAAAGTCAGATAGCCTAGCCAGGTAATCTCAGTTTGCCTAGCTACTTAATAAATGTTTTTCTAGTCAGCCAACATCAGATAACCTAGCCAGCTTTGCCTAGCTAGTTTGCTAATGTAATTTGATTCTCTGGAAATATGTCCCATCTTTGTTTTTGTAATAATTTGTTTAGTGGAGGTAGTGATGGTAAGACAATAAGTGATAAACTCTGCTTTTCCAGCCATGAAAATCTAGAATTCTAATGCTACGCTTCTGCTATGCTGTGAAGTATTTGTATCTGAATCCCTGTTTAAAACACGTGTTCTGTCTGTTTCTCATCAGACAGACCCACCATAACACAACCTTCCAATGGTACCGTATCTGTAACTACCGGCAACAGGCTGGTTCTGAGCTGTTCAGCACATGGAAACCCCAGTCCTCAGTATTCCTGGAGCTCACCTGGAAACATGAACTTCATAAACTCCTCCATCCTCATCATCAGCAGCGTCCAGTCAGAAGATCAGGGTCAATACAACTGCACTGCCTACAACGATGCAGGCTCTGATTCAGTGACTGTGATGGTTAACGTTGTAGGTGAGTGTGAAGATCATGTAAACGCTGTATGTGTAGATCTAATCTGTGAAAGTGAAGCTGATGTTGTTTTCCTTCATGTCTTCATCAGTGGACTACAAGCTGATCATCATCGCTATCTGTGCTGTGCTTGGCGTGGTGTTGCTGGTAACTGGGTTCTCCTTTTGGTTCTACAAGCGTTACCGACGCACCCACAGTGCCACTATATCCTCAACAACCTGACATCATATACACCCAATGCCAACGTGGTCCACAGAGATGTGGATCAGAGCCAACCGATGCTAATCTACTCTTAAACAGAATCTCATTGTTGTCTCTTTCTACAAAGGCCCAATATCGAAACTGATCTGTTTTACAGGTCTGCGCCAAAAGAGAGTAGAAACTGGCCCAGATGAGCAAAGAATACCGTTAAACCTGGCCCTAAATTGACGCATATTATCTTCACATCTGGCCCAAATTTGGCATGGACCCGGTTTAGAAAAGGTTCAAGTTCAAGTTGATACAAGCAGCCCTCTCTGGAGCGGATCCAGCCCTGACTTGCTGAATCTGCATCGGATCCATTCCAGAGTCAGTAACAGCTCCTTATCCAGTATAATTATTCACAATCATTCATTATAAATATTTTTTTAAAAAGTGAATTCAAAAAGGAAAACATAAAACCAAATAACTTTTAAAAAATGTTTATCGAAAATTTGTATGTTTTTAACACAGAATTTTTTTGAAAAATGAATTTAAACAAAACTTTCATCAGCAAAACTCCTGCCAATAAAGAAGCCATAAAGCTGGTTTGTTTTAAATTTTAATCAACTGACATCAGAAAACCACAGACTTTTCAATACTGATCAAGACTGCTAAACTCATCTGCTCATGTCATCACAATAATACAGGTTAAGTGGCAATTTAACACAAAATACTACCATGCTGAGTATTACAAAAACATGTCAACTGCATCCAAACCTAACTCTTAACATAGGGATAATACGTCACAACAACACTAACTAAAATATGAGGTAATAAAGACTGCACTATGAAATAAATATTATTGAAAAAAATATTTTAATTTCTGTTGTTTGAGTTTAAGAAGAGTGACCATTTGAGAAGTATAAAGTAAAGCACAGTTCAACTAAAACCAACTGGTATATAAGAAAATACAATATTAAATACTACAATATAATAAAATACAAACCAATATTGCTAACTGTTCACATAATTTCTCGCCTCTTAACAATCATTACTGTATCAGTCACAGTTTTCATATCGGTTGGGCCCTTACCCAAATGCTGGAATTCAAATCACTTCATTCTTGCAGTTGCTATGATTAATCACTACTGTGGTCAACAGCTGAACAGTGAACTGAATGGTAACGATCTGTACAACCAATACAAATAAAAGAAATATTGTGATTTGATCGGTGAGTGTGTTAGCTTAAACGTTTCCAAAGCACTCATTTAGGAAGCTCATTATTGACAGCTACCACCCAGTACCTGCTTCAGCCAACCCTACATTAAACGGAAACAGGTGTGCTGCTGATGGAACAGAACAAATCCATGCAATGGCTGGTGCTTCAGCAAGAAGTCAGGAACCAAACCTATGTTCTTAACATATTAATAACTTTATCGAAAACTGGCTGTCACTATCAATTATATTGGTAATTGAGTAATCTAGTGGTTATTTGTTTTTTTAATGTACACTAAAATTGTAATGGCAGCGAGGTGTAGGAGGCCGGCGCTGGCAGAAAGAGGTGTAGGAGGCCGGCGCTGGCAGAAAAAGGTGCAGGAGGCCGGCGCTGGCAGAAAGAGGTGCAGGAGGCCATTCATCTGGGTTGATTGGCCGGGGAAATGCTGCAGGGGCAGGAAAGCTGGTGTTACGGTCAAATCACACTGCGCTCTCGGAAAGAGTCCCTGTCCCAGCTATTGGCAAGTCAAACACCCTCTCCGTTTCTGTGGCTGACGTATGTAGAGCCTTCAAGTGCTTTAACATTCACAAGGCAGCAAGACCTGACAGCATTCCTGGACGCATCCTCAAAGCATGTGCACATGAGCTGGCAGGAGGGTTTACAGACATCTTTACCCTCTCTCTCCCTCTCAGTTGTTCCTGCATGCTTCAAACTGGCCACGTGCCAGTTTTAAAGTCAGCCAGGGTTAATACTCTAAATGACTGGTGCCCGGATGCTCTGACCTCCATCATAAGTAACTGCTTTGAGAAGCTGGTTAGAGACTTTATCTGCTCCTCACTACCTGCTACTCTGGACCCACTGCAGTTTGCTTACAGACAGAACAGATCCACTGATGACACAATAGCCCTGACTATATGCACTGCCCTCTCCCATCTGGACAGAAAGAACCCGTATGTGAGAATGCTGTTTGTGGACTACAGCTCAGCATTCAACACCATCGTGCCCTCAAGGCTCAAAATTAAGCTCCGAAATCTGGGTCTGAACAGTTCTCTGTGCAGCTGGATCCTGAACTTACTGATGGGCCGACGCCAGGTGGTAAGGATGGGCAGCAACACCTCCTCCTTACTGACCCTTGACACCGGAGCTCCTCAGGGCTGTGTGCTCAGCCCTCTTTTGTGCTCTCTGTACACCCACGACTGCTCAGCCAGACACAGCTCCAATGTCATCATCAAATTTGCAGATGACACCACGATTGTGGGCCTGATCTCCAATGACACTGAGGAGGCCTACAGAGAGGAGGTCAGACTCTTAATGTCGACCAGACCAAGGAGCTCATAGTGGACTTCGGAAAGCAAGAGAAAGTGCACATCCCATCACCATCAATGGAGCCAGGTGGCGGCAAACACACTACACAGGTGGCAAATAAGGCACAACAGTGCCTCTTCCACCTCAGGCAGCGAAGGTTTGACATGAACCCCTGCCTCCTCCGAACACTTAACACATGTACTGTGGAGAGCATTTTAACAGGCTCCATCACCTCCTAGTATGGGAACTGCACTGCCCAGCAAATCACCGGGGTCCAGCTCCCAAACCTCCTGGATTTATACACCAGCTGCTGCCTCAGGAAGACCAGGAGGATTCTAAAGGACTCCACCCACCCAAGCCACTGTCTTTTATCACAGCTGCCAAGCGGGTACAGAAGCATAAAGTCTAGAACCAGCCGGTTCTGAGACAGTTTCTTCCCCCGAGTCATCAGGCTGCTGAACAGCTAGTAGTGCTGGTGTATCAGTCTATAGGCCTGTCACTGCACCTCTGAATCATCATCATGGTGATCTCCATGGACAATCCACACCTCATCCACATCTCAACAGACTTACTCTCATCTTACTGCACCTTCAATCTAGCAAATCTGTACTTACACATATAAATTGACATGTTGTACATCTTCTATCCATATCTTGTATAATCTGGAAGATTTCTATATCAGTATTCTATCTCCTGTGTACCTGCATCTCATTTATTATCTACCTCAGACTCACTAACCGCACATACGGAAATATGTACAACTGTACATATCATAGTTTTATTTCATAACCTATTACCGTACCAAACTGTACACTGGAGATGTACATTGGAGATTGGATACTAGTGTATATTAATGTTTATATTGTGTATATGTGTGTATATTTAGTCTTATACATATGACAGGTCTGGACTGCTGGCAGGCCAGTTTAGCATCTGGACTCTTTTAATACAGAGCAATGCTGTTTTAATACATGCAGAATGTGGTTTGGCATTGTCTTGTTGAAATAAGCAAGGCCTTCCCTGAAAAAGACTTCATCTGGATGGCAGCATATGTTGCCAACACATGTATATATCGTTCAGCATTAATGCCCCCCTATACCATCATGAATACTGGCTTTTGAACTGTGCACTGATAAGCTGAGTGGTCTTTATCCCGGAGGACACAGTGTCCATGATTTCCAAAAAGAATTTCAGATGTTGATTCGTCTGACCACAGGACACTTTTCCACTTCAACTCAGTCCATTTTAAATGAGCTCAGGCCCAGAGAAGGTGGCACCATTTCTGGATCCAGTTTATATTTGGTTTCTTCTTTGTGTTTTAGTTTTACCTTGCATTTGTGGATGCAGCGACAAACTGTATTCACTGACAGTGGTTTTCCTAAGTGTTTTGAGCCCATGCAGTGATTTCCACTACAAAATCATGTCTGTTTTTAATGCAGTGTTGCCTGAGGGCCCAAATACTGTTTTTTGGCCTTACATACAGAGATTTCTCCAGATTCTCTGAATCTTTTAATGTTATTATGTCCCATAGATGATGCAAAGCAAAAATTCTTTGCTATTTTACATTGAGAAACATTAACCTTGAATTGTTGCACTATTTGATTGTGCAGTCTTTCACAGAGTGGTGAACCCCTCCTCATCTGAACTTCAGAAAGACTCCGCCTCTCTGGAATGGTCTTTTTACACCCAATCATGTTACTGACCTGTTGTCAGTTAACCACCAGTTGTTTTTATAGCATTACAAAACTTTTCCAGCCTTTTGTTGCCCCCGTCCCAAATCTTTTGGAACGTGTTGTTGGCGTCAAATTCAAAACGGGCATATATTTTATAAAACACAGTTTCACCAGTTGTTATGTTACTTTCAATTATATATAGGGTTTTAATGATTTGCACATCATTGCATTTTGTTTTTATTTACATTTTGCACAGCGTCCCAACTTTTTTGGAAATGAGGTTTTACCACAAGGGGGCTACGCACCAAAGATTTTCACTCACATGTGCAAATGTGTAATGTGATGTGACAATCAACATGATTTTGATTTGATAAGCATTAATATCTAAAAATACACATTTATCAGGGTTATGCTAAGGAATACTCATCTATGGCTAAATATGAATTGTATTTATGTCTTTATTACAAACTTGCAATTTGTAGTTTGTTGAAGTTGTGTAAACCATAGCATCTGTTCTAGAGTTAAAAAAATCAGGCTTGAGAGATCTGGACCTCAGTGAAAATGACCTGCAGGATTCAGGAGGGAAGCTTCTTTCTGCTGGGCTGAAGAGTTCACATTGTGAACTGCATTTATTTCTTTATTACATCTTGCTGAACTGTCGCGACCAAGAGCTGTCCCTTCTGCCCAGGGTCTAGACATATATGAGTATCTTTTAATATGTTCTTATACTATTGCCCTGATAACTAACTGTACTCTAACTTCTTCAAAAAGAATTAAAAGAACAAAAGAATATCAACAAAAAGTAAAAAGGACAAAAAGGAACAAAAAAGAATAAAAAGACTTCAGCCGCTGAGTTCTCGTGGAAGGAAGGAAAAGCCCTTCCCTTTATTGAGCTTAAAGTGGCAAGATGGTTCCCGGACAACCACAATGCAAAGATCATCACGAAGCACC